TTTAAGTTCGGGGATCAAGGGAACTGGATATGTGTGGGCGCTCCATGACCCACCTCAGGACGCTCCGTACAAGATAACTCTGTCGAGATTCCAATGTATCCGCTAAAAGAACCCATTTGCGCAAACAAAAAAAACTACATAAAACATACACAATTTCAAAATTACATTTAAAAAATATATATAATAATAATTAAAAAAAAAACTTACGATCTACCACCTCCAAATAAAATCTTACATTTTTATTATCAAATAGTAAATTATATGTATATGTATTTATTAATTTATTTATTTATATATTTCCTTACACCCCGTGAAATTTAAATCGTTAACGTTACAAAAGCGGATACGCCTGCCAGCTCGTTGAGGTCCCAAAGCCTAGTGGACCTCAAGGAACTTAGCCGGTATGGGTACGTGAAGCGATAGGAAACTCATTGGCAGTTTTTCGACCTTGTCTACACTAGCTACAGCTCACTTTGCCTCTGCTATTATAGAGGGTAGACGTAAAAAGTGCCATCTTGTATAGGGGACAAGTTGATAGAGTGTCCGTCTGTAAACAGCGCGTTGTTGTTGGAAGACTCACCGACATAGCGCTAGTTTAGGATGTGGAAATTATATGAATATAGCAGTTTTAAACTGCGTCAATTGTGCAGAGTTGAAAATTTTAACATTTGTCGTGACCTGGGCAGTTAAAATATTTATGCAGAGTTTAAAATGTCAATTATTTATTTTTATTACTACTCACGTAAGAAGCGTTTCTTTCCTTCTTAATTTAATATCGCACTTTAATAGTTTATGGCGCAGTTTTTAAAATCTTTCCACTTGCTGCAGTGGCGCCACCTTAATTGACTCCCTTACAGCGGACACTTCGTAATACACTGAGATAGCGCTTCTTACATCTACCCACGACATCTAACATATAACACGCACAGGCTAAAACGACCGCTTTCGTAACTTCATAACCGAATTTTATTACGCTTAAAAATACATTTAAAAACGCTATCTTAAATAATAATAATTAAAAATAATAATAAAAATACTTTCTTCACAGAATCAGTGAAATAAAAAAAAACGTCACAAGCAAACTTCAAACGTTTCCCCGTTCTAGTCCTATTTTTTTTAAAAAAGCTCTCGAATCAAAACATCGAAATGTATGTACTCTAGGAAGGAAAGAAATAAATAAAAAGTTTACATAAATAACTCAAACGTCAGGATAATGTTATGCAAGATCGCTCAAATTCATTTAAAAATAATCATATCACCCTAAAGCGAATCAGTATGCAATTATCTTAACGTTAAACCAAAAAAATAATCGTCATACGAAGAATTTCCAACAATTTTGATACATTTACCTACACAACCAGACAACCGTTCTAGCTAACGCGAAAAAAATCCTTTTTTTGTAACTTCCAAGGACCAATCGAAAAATTTTAAAATATATATCACGCGTCGGGCTAAGCTTTCGTCACAACGCGTGACGTCACATGAGGCTAAGCGTTGCTTGTAATCTATAGACAAGTTCTCCTTTAGCATTTGGTGGCGATCAGTGAGAAAGGTCCCGAAAATTTTACCAGACAAAAAAAACTACGCAGTGTAACGCGTACAAAAACCCACAGTCGCGCAATACGAAATTTCGAAACGCTCTACATTACTGGCTTCCGTCATAATTCAACAGCGTCTATATATACTGGGCGTTAGGGAGACCGCTTCCGAAAACGAAGACAGACGATAGTACTAATGATATACCGTTGATGATGGAGTTATTTAGATAAATGTTGTATTATTCAATTAGACAAATGTTGTATTGTAATGTATTTCGACAAAATAAGTATTTGTGCAATCGCGCGAGTCTGCGCCGCGGGCGTTCGTTGAACCGAGCGTCAGCTGTTTTTGATTTTGTGTTTCATTGCTGGTTTTTTTTTAGTAATGTATTTTTTATGAAACTATCGTTTTATTTAGCTGTACTAACATGATGGAGCGTAAATAATGCTAATAAAACATTTTAAGATTATTATTTTTTTAAATCACGCTCGGTTTTTTTTCCGTCTCATCATCAAAGGTGTCATTAGTAGTATCATCTGTCTAGTCTTATCCATATGATGGTTGTCTGGAAGTGATCGCTCTTAGAGATAAGACCGCCAATTGTACTTTTTTTGTATTTAATGTTTCGCGTTGTTTATTCATTTTGTGTACAATAAAGAATAATCTTTCTTTCTTTCTTTCTTTCTCTCTCTCTCTCTTTAACTGATGTCACGACTTTCACAAATTTGCGACTTAAGACTTTGTGTCTCAAAGCGGGCGGCGGCATTTACGTTGCCGATGTCCATGGGCTCCACGGTTACCATTTAACACCGCAATAAAATTACACCCTGTATTTTATTAACATTCTAAACCATACTGTTACGAAGACGGTATAACTGATATAATTGAGTTTTTTTTTTATTAATGAATTTGCATTTATGCATAACGCCATCAAAACTATGGTACTTAAAGAAAATAATAAAAAAATAATATAATCAGAAATACACAATCTTAGGAACATTCGTTAACTTATAAACGAAACGATAAGTCTAAATAAATATATAAATACATAAAAGTATTTTTATTTTTTTATTTTTTTAACTGGCAACCGGACGTCATTGATTTAGCAATCTTATAATAAACTGATCATTAGGGATGTCAACTAAATAAAAATAAAAAAAAAGATTTATCGATTTTCAAGAATCGATTTCAAGATCGTCAGTAAACGTAAATTATAAAAATTCAAACGTCAAAGTAAACACGAATCGGAACGCATCACGTCACATGTGGATAAGCTGTGGTGCAATACTCAACAGAATCTATCTATGGGTTGGGTTCGCTGGCCCCAAATGACGTCACTATCGATAATCGCGGTCGAGGTTTAAATCGCCAGGTTCCCATTCGGAGACAGATTTCGTTTTAATGCATTCTTGTTTCAATTACCAATGTATTACTAATACAGATTTTAAAAAAAAAACTAGACTAATAATCCTTTCACAGCCGTGCAGGTCACCGGTGACCTACGCGGCGCACTCAAGAAATTATATCGATTTCTGTTACTAAGGCGTCGGAATATATTTAGTCGACTCTGGGTAAGACGAATCCGATCAGATACTGAGAACAAATCTATTACTAAGAGACATTAAAATATTAAAATGTACATTAACAAACAAAAGGCAAAGTTAGTCATTCCAGGCGCCTTAGTAACAGACATCGATATTACAATTACTTCAGTGCGCCGCGTAGGTCAACGGTGACCTACACGGGAGTCTTAAGGGTTAAGCACGAATAAAAGCGATTAGATATTTTTTATTTGTTTGTTAGTTTGTCGGTCTTTGTTACGCGTTTATTACAATTCGACATAATTATATTGTATGTGGAAGAAAATGGCTTCTCATATATCGCCATTGTCAAACCAAAATCTGCTATGTGCACTTTTTGACCTTTTCGTATAGTTCACAGCCCTATCTACCGTATAAAAAAAAGCTGTTATGTGTCTATATAGCTTTAATATTTATCTATAGCTTTCATTTGATATAGTTCTTAATAAATTCACTTTCATATAAAATTTTATACGAAAATGTTTTTACCCGTTAATTCAAAATATAGTTTTTGCACATAGCAGATTTTGGTTTGACAGTGACGATATGCCACTTGACATTTCAATTGGGGGAATGCGAGGGTAGGCAGAGAACTGTCTTATACGAGGGGACAATTTGGACGCGTGTTCGGCTGTGACCAGCGCCTTACCGGTCAACGATCCATCACCACAGCGGAAGATAGCAGGTGGTGTGATGTGGATCTAGAAGTTGTGTCCAGAGTATCAAATCGAAAAAAAAAAAGACGCCGTCTTTAAAATCACACCACTTGCTACCTACGGTGGCGCCGCCTTAATCGGACGTTCGCTTTTCGAAACTTCATTACAATCATTGTAGTTCTCACCTCTGTACCCTCAATACCTAGCAGGAGTTTAAAACTTAAAACTAGCCGTTTAGTATTACATAATTTCGTGTATTAATCATAAATCATTAGCATTTAATATACAAATAGAAAGTACGACACGAATGACCATCAAATTCGAACGGTTGGGAAAAATTAGCGGGGGAGTAGGGTTGGGGGGGTCAAGGGCACAGGTAGGAGGGGGGGTGAAGAAGCATTGACCCTCAATCAAGCGATAGGAAGTGAATCGTAAAAGAAAAATAGTGACATCATTATGAGAGCCTAAAAGTGTTGATTGATTGGCCCGATACCACACTCCTGTTTTTGTCAGCTACTAAGCTATGGTGTGAAAAAATCAGATAAATCGTTTGTTACATGTGTGCGGACGGTATTAAATGTTTATTAAGATCCCGCAGAGAAGCCCCCACTGATATACTAGGCAAACTTTAACCCTTTTAGTGATGAGCTCATGTTCAAATATATTAAGGATTAAAAAAAAGCTTATAAAAAACTTTAACTTTAAAAAATCAATGCTAAATTCACAGCATAATAATTTCGATATTCCGACGCTCTGTATTTTATACGCAATAATAGACAGCCGATATATCGACGATTCACACTCGAAGGGTTAAATTTGTTTTAATGACAGCTGATCTGATACGTTTGAATGCTTCCGACTAAAATACATGATAACATAAAATTAATCATTAATTCAATTTTTTTTTTAATTCCAATAAAACGAGGAATTCCTTGAAACTAACTGGCAACACTGCTCGATTTTTGAAATTGACGTCATAGACAGTGGACACCCGTTACGAACTGACCGAGCGGGTCATTCACCTGGAGCGCTCAGCTGTTCATAATCTTTGACTTCTTTTCTTCTTAATTCTGTTCACGGATTCAATAAATACAAGTCATCCACACTCAACACACACACACAAGATTCCGATAAATGTCCACTTTTGGTTTGTTAGGCATCAATATGAACAACTTGAAGTTCACAAGGTCAATGACCTCTCAATGGATACTTGGGCCCGTGAGCTCACCTACGCCTCCGGACATAGCTAGAATAGCCTCTTAGACTACCAGCAAATAGTTAAGGAAAAAAAGTCATTTCAGAAGCCATTGAATTAGTAAACAAAAAATAAACGCACTACATTATATCATTTGTATATAGTGAATAGTAGAAGGCAGTGTGTTGTATAGAATTAGAACACGGAAGACCCTACCTCTAGTATTGAACTGTTCATGAACGCAGCAGAACCCACAAAACTTTACGTGTTCTTCGTCATTAGAATATATAGATAAGCCATAGCTGTGTAACAGTAACGGGGATTCCATTAGCACACAGAAGAAATTATCTCCCGAAACAAAGACAGCACGGTTTAAAACATTGAAACTCACTTAAACAATTTCACGCAACTTTTAAGCTCCCCAATTGAAATCACTGATAGATCTCGGTGTAATGTACAGCACTACGATACACACTCATAATGTCATGACATCCATCGATCGGAGTATAAATCTGGGAGTTGTAATCATTCGGTCAAACATAATTGTTAACGTAACCTTTAGGCTCTCATGCTAATAAAAAAAATGCTGATACAAAATATATCTTAATAATAATAAATCTAGTGCTTCATTACATTGCGGACCAAAATAATTTCTTACTTTCTACACTTGAAGCACTGTCCTATTCTCGGGTGCAGGTCCTTGATGGTTCTTGAGAAATCCATTGGTCAGCACGTATCGGGTCTCACTGCATGAAGTAGTCCGGATGATCAGGATCTTTCTCGAAACGTTTCGCCTCTTCCTGCATGCTCTCTTTTATCTTAAGTATTGCTGCGGATTCCGTTTGGTCGCTTTGGTCGCCTCCGGGTCCCCCGAAACCTGAGGATGGAGAGGATATAATTATGAGGCCGTCAACGCAAAAGTGGCCTAAGCTTACCATAGTTATTATGGAGCAATGAGGTTTAAGTTTTCATGAATTTGAATTTAAAAAAACAATACGCGCAAAAATAATGTATACAAAGCCATCTGCTATATTATTATATGGGTGAAAACTATACTGACTATACTGAGACCTTAAAACTTATATCTCGAGGTGGGTGGCGTATTTACGTTGTAGATGTCTATGGGCTCCAGTAACCACTTAACATCAGGTGGGCTGTGAGCTCGTCCATCCATCTAAGCAATAAAAAAATAAAATAAAAAATGGATTGGCTGGTTTTGCATCAAAATTGATAATATTTGAAATAAATTGAAATTTACATACAAGCATGATTATGAAAAATTGTGGGTTAGGCCACGTTTGCGCTGACGGTCTCATATGTCATATTGGCCTAGTCTTGTACAGTTTTTTTTTTGCCTTATTATAACATTTATAACATTACATTATAGACATACAAGTATTTAAACATATAGATAATACTTAAGGCATTCTCTACCGGTCAACGAAATGTTATTCAGAGTAAAAAAAAATAACAATACAATATTTTTATTCATTTTTTTTTTTCCAGTTTTGTTTACTCGTCAATGGCTGACACCAACCATATATTTGACACCCTGTCGAAATGTTCGAATCTCGTTATCTATCTTATGAATTTTATTACCAGAAATTCATGTGCTTATTTTGTTTATATTAAACTTGTATTTACAAATTAATAAACAACTAGGAACAAATCAGTTTCATGTCTGGCCTCAAACTGAGAACCAATATACATATATGGCAGTAGCCATTAAAGAACACAATATATTTGACGGATGCCTGAATCTCGCTTACGACACTTTCAAGACAAGCTTGCATATATACAAGTTCCGAACACCAACATTCAGACCGTCGGTCTACCGAGCAATATCACCCGCTCGGTGGAAGATCTTCCCTTTGTTGTATACCTACATACACTTATGTACATAATATAAATATATACATTTTATACATATGTAGTATCGAGATTTCGTCACTCGAATGCTGATCCAAAACAGGAATCGAACCCACAACCCTCTGCCCAGCAGCGAGGCTCACTAATGTACAAAAAATTACCACCACCCCACCTATTTCTGCCGTGAAGCAGTAATGCGTTTCGGTTTGAAGGGTGGGGCAGCCGCTGTAACTATACTGAGACCTTAGAACTCACATCTCAAGGTGGGTGGCGACATTTACCCTGTACATATCTATGGGTTCCGATAACCACTTAACACCAGGCTTGTGAAATCATCCACCCATCTAAGCACCAAACAAAAAATCGGTTGTCTGTAAGGTCGGTTTACTGACGATAGTTGAACGTGACAACGTCATAAGAAAGTACTGATGGAATGGTTTCATTTTTCAATTATCGCAATTATCGTTGCTATAAACAATTGACACCACATTAACTTTTCACTGAACTTCATACTTCACGAAAACATGTAAATGTATTACTGTATAGCAGCTGTCCACGCGGATGCATCGCTCACTCAAGTAGGAGAGAGACAGATGTCGAACGCTGCCGAACGTGGGAGCCGATTGTGCATCTTTGTCACTCATTGCGCGCTCTCGCTTGCACTTCAAGCCTTAAATGGAACGCCTCAGAGCGAGGTAACGCCGCACGAGTTATGTTTTGTCGTGCGTGCAGCCGGCGAATTATAAGACGTTGTCACGTCAAAAAAGTCAAAGTGTGGAATGCATACTCACTTAAATTATAATCGCCCATTCCGGATCCGGAGTCCTCCCGGGGTGTACCGGGGCCGCCGCCGCCCACGCCCCCGGGAGACGACTTCATGCCGTCCACGCCCCCGAGGCCTGGACAAACTGGGCGCTTAATTCGCAAATCGATTCGAAAGGTAAGAAGAGCGCCATCTACTACGGACAGCACCATTCAAGAGAACTCAACGAGGTCACTACTGGGCAATCAGTGTGCTTAGTGGGAGTTTTTAACGTTCTCGATAGCGTAAAAGTTAGCTCATATTTGTATGGAATGGCGCATCGGAAAAACGCATTGAACCTGGAAGAACAAAGCGTCTCCTTAAGACTATCCACCATTTTCCTACGTAGGATTTTGGAGTTTTTTGGTCACGTTGCGAGGAAAAGGGGTGACAATCTTGAAAGACCTCTCATTACTGGCAAAGTGGAAGGAAAGAGGCCTTGGGGGCGTTGGTCCGATCATATTAAGACGACTTTGGAATCCAGCATCAATGTCGCTATCCACTGCGCGGAGGACAGGAGTGAATGGAGGAACACAGTCCTAACAAAAGTGCTAAGTAAAGGTCACGACCCTCAGAACTGCGGAATACGACGCACGGAGGGGGGGATCGTTTGCGTATGTTTGCCGGTAGGGGCGCTGTTCCAACTGTATATAAATTTGCGTTAACTTTTACGCTATCGTGAACGTTAAGAAACTCGCACTAAGCACACTGATGTCAAAAACAGCTGTACTCAGCTTCGTCACAATCAGATGGATAGCACTAACAAACATAAGCACATAAGCAGGAACTATAAATGCATACAACTCACCAGAGTTAGAAGAGTCTTGCGGGCTGGGCATGATGGGTGTGGGCGGACCCGGGGGGCCGTTGGAGCCCGAGGGCGGCCCGTACGCGCCGGGCGAGCCCCCGCTGTAGTTGAGGGGCGCCGCCCCGCCCGCCCCACCGCCTGACCACGCCCCGCGCGGCCCCATGCCCATCGGCGCCATACCTAAACACAAACGTGTAAAACTGCATCTCCCCATCAAAGGACGTGAAGTTTTTTTAAGGGATTTTATGACCTGGTAACTAAGACCTTTAGGTCATGTGTTATTTTAATTTATATTCATATTTTTATGATAAATGATAATATGGAGTGTAGCATGTTAAAAATTATTTGTTACGTAATGTTATTATTATTACATTTACATTATTACATTATACAAATAGATTTAAATTTTAATAAATTGTTCGTTGAACGGACAAACGATCCGATTTTGTATATAGTGACTGCAAATACAAAATAAATGTACATTCAGCTGGTCGATTTAAGGCGAGATGCTTGTGCTTTTTGAATGACTTTGGCTTACAACAGTGATTATAAAATACTTGTAATAGTATATAGTTACTGTCGCTTCATATTATCGTTTATCATATCTTCACTCTCTTCCCCTTCTTTATGTTTGTGCTTTCTTTTGACAATAAACTGATAGTGTTTTTAAAACTGTGCGGGTAGTTTAATTTGACTAGTTGTAGTTTAATTTGACTTCAGGAGTGAAATGAAATGAAGATGATTAATTAGAGAGACATTAATCAACTGAGATGAAATGAAATGAAATGAAATGGTGGTCATTTACTGAGATTTTTTCGGTGGACTTTTTGGAGGATCCCGAGAAGTTACGTCCAGCGGCTTTGTTTCATTTCCCCACATTTGTGCACTTTCACAGATATTAAACAGTCAACAATGTTCATGATTGAAGGAATAACATCGTGTAATAAAAATGAAACCCGCAAAATTATAATTTGCGTAATTACTGGTGGTAGGACCGCTTGTGAGTCCGCGCGGATAGGTACCACCGCCCTGCCTATTTCCGCCGTGAAGCAGTAATGCGTTTCGGTTTCAAGGGTGGGGCAGCCGTTGTAACTATACTGAGACCTTAGAACTTATATCTCAAGGTGGGTGGCGCATTTACGTTGTGGATGTCTATGGGCTCCAGTAACCACTTAACACCAGGTGGGCTGTGAGCTCGTCTACCCATCTAAGCAATAAAAAAAAAAAAAAAAAAAAAAAAAAAAAAAAAAAAAAAAANAAGAAACACTAAAGACAAAATAAAACAAATCACACAACTTCACTCCTCGCATTCCCGCCAAAAAGTCCAAGGACATAAAGACGTTCCTAATCTAATCTGTTTAATATAAAGACTCTCTGTTTGAGCTAAATGTTAATGCCGTTTTTTGTCAAGAGATGGCTCCTGTTGTTACCAGGTGCGGTTGTAACAATAATTCTCTATACATATAGATTTTTTTCCAATAGGTTTTAGATAAAGTTTTTAGTAGATTTATTATTTCCTTTAGCAAGATACCCTTATTTGTTTTTAATAATATAAATTTACCCTAATTTATTTACAATAACAAGTATCTACCAGGTAAAATCGCGTCAAAATCGGTACAGCTTTCTCGAAGATTGAGTGGAACATACAGGCCGAAAAAAAAATGTTAATGTTTTTTTTTACAACTTTTAAAATACTATCTTAAGCATTTATTAAACACATGATTGATTGTATTCTAAAATGTTTCTAATCCATAATAAACAAGATGAAAATAGAGAGAACCCCATTAACAAAGAAAAGTACTGAAAATTCTAATTTTAGTGTTGAATCCTGCTCATACCTGGTCCCTGAGGTGGTGGACCTCGCATTCCCGCTGCGTACGCCCCTGGACTCATGGGTCCCATGCCGGGCCTCGGCGGCGTCATCCTGGGCCCCAGCAGTCCTGCAGCACCTGACCCCCCTCTTTCCATTGAATTACCCATCATCCCCTGACCTGCGGATGTAAGTAATCTTCATTGGTTAAATAAACTTCAACATACATTGTCTGTGTATTTACCTGACACAGATGTCATGTCAGCTAAGCATATAATTGTGTTTGATAAATTATGCGGAATACATTTACTTTGTAAAGAGAAAGCCTGAAGTATCTTAATGATTATTCTCAATGGGGAAACTACACCTATTTGTTAATGCATCTCCTAATAGAACCCACTTTATAAAAGGCTGGGTTACTGACAGTAGTAAAAAGTAAACTAGAAATATATTGTCTTTTCGCATTAAAAGTGTACAATTTCCTAAAATATTCGAAATTGAGTTAATATGCGGAATCATTTGGTATCACCAGTATTTTTCTCATAAATACTGTCAAAAGAGCGTAGTTAAGTTTTAGTTTACCTAAATTTTGAGTACTGTTAACAAAATTAATACATAATTTTAACTTACTTTAATAGACATTAACATTAAAAATATCACATGTTAAACCTTTAAAACACTCTCCTGTAAAATTAGTAAGTTTTGAGATTATACAGTTTTAATGCGAAAAGGCGATATATACACAACACAACAATATATAACTAGTCTGGCCATAAATACTGTTACATAGAAAACTTTTCTTTTTTCCAAGTTTTTAATTCTTTTGAATTTGGAACACGTATATTGTTTTAAAAACTTCTTTCGATTTTGGGCCATTTCACATATTTTTTCGTGTTCATTATCAAATTACAATATAGCAGGGAGTGTTAAAGAAAATAGGATTGCTCTCTCTCAAGCTGAACCCCCATAAATGAGCTCCCAGATACCAGCCTGGTATATCTGAATTACCCTTCGAGAGTACATCAAAATAATATAGGGTAAATCTGATTTTTTAAATAAAAACATTATTTCTACCTGGCGGTCCATTGAAATCATTCCCCATCCCCATCCTGACTGCGCCCCTCGGGCCACCTGCCGAATACCAAGGTCCGATGAAAGGCTGCCCCGTGCCCATGAGCTGTGGCTGGGGACCGTGAGGCGACGGCTGCGACCCAGGGTGAGGTGCCGGCGGTGACGGACGAAGAGGCGAATTCGGAAAGAAACCTGGTGGCATTCCTCCACCACCCATACCTGTAACATTTATATTTCACTTTACAGTCTTAGCTCACAGACAACTAAGAATAAAGTAATTTTCATTACTTGTACTATTTGTATATATTTTTTTTTATTGTTTATATGTGGTTACTGTTAAGTGGTTACTGGAGCCCATAGACATCTACGATGTAAATGCGCCACCCACTTTGAGATATAAGTTCTAAGGTCTCAGTATAGTTACAACGGCTGCCCCGCCCTTCAAACCGAAACGCAGTACTGCTTCACGGCAAAAATAGGCGGGGTGGTGGTACCTACCCGCGCGGACTCACAACAGGTCTTTACCACCTTGGTACCCGCCTAGGATTCGAACATTGGTGCATCGCTCAAAACGAATGCACCGGACGACTTATCCATTAGGCCACGGCTTCAAACGTTCAATAATTTATTTCTTTCTGTAAAGCCGTCCGCTGCCCTCGCATTGTTGATATCCACAAGCGATGATGATTGCACCTTCATCGAGGCAATTAAACCAGACACAATGATTAACAACTTGTATGAATATATGTGTAACTCAAGGAGGTGACTGGAGACCAGATACAGGGAGCAGTACATATGGCGCAGAGCCGGACCGAGTGGAGAAGATTGACATACAGTCACGATCCTCAGCATTGAGGGAACGACCAGAAAGAATGAATATATGTACACATAGAGTATAAGAGTTATTCTATGCCTTTGTAACTATAAATCCCAAATAAGACCATTTATTAATAACAAATATTTACAAAGATTGTAAATCTTAAAACTGTATAAAATTACAATTATCAATCTAATGTTACTCCTTTACAGTTAGATACATTAAAATGAAATTGACAATAAAATATTGTTTCCCTTCGCATTGACTCCCATGTAGGTCACCTGTGCCCTACGCGGCGCACTGAAGTTATTATGTCGAATTCTGTTACTAAGCGCCTGGATTGACTAACTTTGCCTTCTTTTTTGTTGAAGTGAAACTTCTTTAGAATCGTGATTTCAAATTCGATGAAACGAAAAAATAAGTCCATAGAGGCACAAACACATAAATGTATAGGGTTCAGCCGGCGAGAGAATGAGATAGAACACATTAGAAGTTCTCGGTCTCTTCTATGTGCGACTCTTCGTATCATCCCCACTATGGTCTACTAAACATTGTCCATATGTATGCTCCTGTGTAGTGGGATAGTCAGTATATCTATATCTTATTTATAAGTTTCAGTTCTACTGTGTGTGACTTGCACACACACACACACTTTTTTTTAATGTATGCCTTTTAGGTGTCTTATATGTAAGATTCGTCTTTCCCAGAATCTCCTAGATATTCCCGCACCTTAGTAACAGAAATGGACATAATTACTTGAGTGCCCCACATAAGGCCTCGGTGACCTACATAGCAGTTAAAAGGTTAAAAAATGATTTTTCATTAAATTATACTCATCCTAACCTTGTAATAAACTCACAAATATGATAAACCAGATTAATGATATGCAGTATAACGATTGGATGTTTCAATCCCGGCATCATATCTGTTATTTGTATTTGCAAAACACTGTCTATCAATGATTATATACTTCACAATGGCAAATAATTGCATCGTTTTGCAAGTATTCAAAGCAGAGAAACTAAAATGTTTCTCAATAATAAAGCTCCAGCAAAATTAATTATGTCTCTCCATCATAATAAAACACCAAGATTTCTGTATAAAATTATTCTAAACATTCTCATAAGTAACAAGGTTTTGATAGATATTGAAGCTAATTGGTGCTATGGGGTCTGAAACTACTCCTAATCCTGACAATTTATAAGCTCTCCATTATCACTAGTGAGTATTGAGAAAGACCCACATTACTATACCCTCTGATGGTCAGTAGCTCATAACCTCTGAGACATTAGGAGAAAACTCTGCACAAATCCATTCCATTGAGATCTATATAATTATTGTCTTGTTTCTCAAGCACACGACTTGACTTCCATTTATAGATTTTTTGTATTATATATCCATCACGCTGAGGTATCACATAACTTATCCTACCGAGTAAATCAGAATGTATGACTAGCATGCGGCAGTTTTTCTTTTTACTTTTAATCCAATACACATAGGTATATAGCCCACTTAAAATGGCCAATTAAAACATTTGAATCATGGATAATAATCTGTCACATTTCTTATCTAAGATATTAGATCTTGTTGTTGAAAGTTGACAAAAACTTAAATATATTTTTATTTTTCCCAGTCAAATTTAGATGTCTATTCATGTGACTATATTACCAGTATATTATATAATAAGTGTTATTTATGTACAGTACACAGCTTCAGACTTATAATTTCATCTTGAAATTCCTGATTACCTAAAGTGCTATGGTGTATTTACAGAACCCATAGCAAATCCCTAGAATAAACTTTTTGGGTTAATACATTATATACATATAAACAATTAATAACGAAATAAATCAATTTAAACAGTAGCTTAATTACGAAAAAAGTAATATTGTATAGGTATATTTAAGATTTTAACGCTGTTATTTTATGTAATCCTCAAATTATTATTCTACTCGTCCCTCTCGGTCCATGTTATTAAATTTGACGATGAACTTAGTGTGCCTTGATAAAAATGTACTTTCGTTCCCATTCACTAAAGCACTTCTCGTTTTCTCTTTTTAGATCACTCAGAATATAACAATGTAGGTAATGGAATTTCAGCAAAAATCTCATGACTGTGTTTTCACAGTAAACACTGCTACTAAACGTCTCGAATCAAGTTAACATAGACACTTTCAACATGTTTTTGCATCACTACCAAACTTTCATTAGTCACTTTCATAAAATTTGGGTTAAACAAATGCTTACATTCAAACATTGAATTCCATATTTAAAAATCTTAGTAAACATCTCTAAATCTCAGGATAATGTCGAAGGCACAGACTTAATCTTCCTTTACGGTATAGAGGTCGAAATAAATAGTTCACCAAGAAAACAAAACAATTACGATCTTACCGATTAGACAGCGACTTCGAAAACCGTGAATTTGTATTTTTTTTTTAATTTAGGGCACGTACCGTCGTTAGGAGGTGCCGGGCCGGCGTTGTGTCCAATACCGTTGACTCCATATCCAGAATTAACAAATCCGTAATCGTGAAATGCCTTTGCCTCGGATGAATGTTCACACGTGTCGCGTCTCTCCGGAGCAGCGCAATATAGGTCCCAGAACACGCACCACCACGAATGCAGGAACCCCGGAGGCTCCCCCAACGTTATATTCTTCTCCCATCGTATTTCCGAAAGAAATGTTTGGGCCGCTTTGGTAGCGCCGACGTGCAATAAATATTCGTACACATATAACGCTAATTTCTCGCGGGCCTGAGCGTCCGAAGGCACCGTAGAGCCCTTGCCCTTGGCATACATATCGACTGGAAGCCGATTTTTTTACTGGAATTGTTTATTATTTACATTAACGCTTTTAACAATAAATTCAACTACACAAAATGTCATTGATCGATGGCGACATTTGGCGTCTGTGGCATAGATAATGTATAAGTATGTTCTCATTGNCGCTAATTTCTCGCGGGCCTGAGCGTCCGAAGGCACCGTAGAGCCCTTGCCCTTGGCATACATATCGACTGGAAGCCGATTTTTTTACTGGAATTGTTTATTATTTACATTAACGCTTTTAACAATAAATTCAACTACACAAAATGTCATTGATCGATGGCGACATTTGGCGTCTGTGGCATAGATAATGTATAAGTATGTTCTCATTGCTACCATTTTTGGAGCTGTCATTAAATCTTGTTGACGGATCCAGAAAACCGTAAACGTCATGTTTATTTGCAGTCCAAATGCGTGGAGTTAATTGAATGTTGCGAAATTAGCGCGGTAATTAAGTCCGAATTCGAAAAATTTCAAAAAACTTTCTCATATTTTCATCCCAAGAACAAACTGCAAGTGTATTGCGAAATTAAAAGTGTACTTGAAAGCTGTTTTGTATCTTCTTTACATTTCTAGGAAATTGTTATAAACATACTATGATAAGTACGTATATCATTCGAAAAATTTGTACCTGCACGATTTGAGTGCTGGCACTTAGAGTCGCATCGCCAATCACTAGCCGTCACATCTTTTAGACCACGACGACTTCTCACTAAAAATTTTCATTTACTCATTTTTAAAAATTTATATCCGGACCTGCAAACCATGAATATTCACAAATCTTTCGTGTTTGAAACAAAACACGAAAAAAGGTTCACTCTGATGCAGTTTTTTGAATTCACACTGATAAGCTGATAGTCTTGAGAGACCATTTAAGCGCAACCTTAACAAGTAGGTGAGCTCACGGGGCTCAAACCTGAGGACGTTGCTAAAGCAAGACTAGTGCTTCGCAGAATCTACTCCAGGATCGGAAATGCGACCTACTGAGAAGATCAGAAAGCAGACAGAGCAGGTTCGACGAGAACGATGACCGGTGCTTGGGGTACCTAAAACACCGTTAGTGGGTCAGGAGGATCCGAAATGGCGTGTTTTGAGAGATGTCGACTGTTTACCATTCAGTCCGCATGATCGGGAATGTTACGGCAGCCACGATGAGAGGGTTTTCGTGTCGTGCCGCTTTCTCAAAATGGCGCACAGATACCGACTAAAGATACTTACTGATGGACTCTATACTCGTTTTGTCGTGCAGGTCCATGTTTCGGATAAACCAAGGGGCCCCGGCGGCTATCCTGCAAAAACAGGATTGTATTATTTAGAGGGGTTTCAAGCTTGTGCAGGCCGCGGGAGCAAACCCTACACTGGCATAGCTAATGATCACTACACTGAATATGCCGATTCATTGTATACTGAAAGTCAACGAAACAGTATTGCTATAGTTGAGCATTATTTTCCGGTAATTCACGTTAGGCGTTTGCGCATCTTTTTATAAATCATCAGTGTGCTACTGCGTTGTGAACCAAATATGAATTTACTTATTATTTCTATTTCTGAAACGCCAGCTAAACGCTATAAGGCGTTATATTCCCCAATCTCCTAATTTAGCCCGTCAACTTCCTCTCTTCTTGTTTTTTACCCTTCTAAATCGTCTTCTATGTTACTTTACCAAGCTGAATAATATGTCACAATTCTTCCATATGGAGTGCTCTGAGGAATTGTTCGAGATGATACCAGCATCTTTTTTTTACCATCGCACCGCCCGCCACCGGACTAGAGTTCATCCATACTACTTGGAGCCACTGCGGTCATTCACAGTGCGTTTTCAGAGATCTTTTTTGCCACGTACCATCCGGCTATGGAATGAGCTCCCCTCCACGGTGTTTCCCGAGCGTTATGACATGTCCTTCTTCAAACGAGGCTTGTGGAGAGTATTAAGCGGTAGGCAGCGGCTTGGCTCTGCCCCTGGTATTCCTGAAGTCCATGGACGACGGTAACCACTCACCACCAGTTGGGCCGTATGCTCGTCTGCCTACAAGGGCAATAAAAAAATATACATATATATGCGATTTCCGAAATCCAGATAATTCATTGGCATTGCTCGCCAGTTTTGCTTAGTGCTAGGCCGTTATTGGTTTCGGACATAGCAAATATTTATTATTATATATTTTTCCTTATCCATATCCATTTTTTTGTGTATGTATTTGTAACTTCATATAAACTTCATTGCACCTACCACTATTCACTCTGCACTACCTTTGGTTGTCTGGTAGAGAATGCCTTAGGCAATAAGTCCACCAATGTAAATTTTACATGAAGTGTAATAAATAAATAAATATAACTTTTTTTTCTTTTATCACAATTTCCTTTCCAAAAAACTTCAGAAACTCTGAGTTGTTTAGTAAGCAATGTCAATTGATGCATTTTTTAAAAGCTGTTCTTCCATTATGATGTTTTTTTTGTGCTTTCCAATAAATTATATTTTTTTACTAAATTCTCCATAGTTATTTTTGTGTATTTATATTTTAAAGTACCTATGTCAGTGTTAATTTTTAATTTTATATTATTCTAAATATAGTAGAACTATAATAATATACGGTTGGAAAATTAGACTCAAACATGCTAATAATCATAATTATATTTTAAATATTATGTTATAGTAAAAAAAAAAACATTATAGAACACTAATTTGTAAACCGATAATAATCGCTATTAGAACGGAAATAGTAGTAATTCGACCATAGATAAAATCAATGGAGAAACCAAGAGAAACGCGCACAGAACGCACTGCAACTCTAGCAATGTCCGCGTTTGTCTATTTCTTTTCCCTTCTCGTGCGGCCGTGTCACCGCGTGGTTCACTGTCGCGTTTCTAAAAGAAACATACAAGATGGCTATAAGACCTGTTTACAGGCCGACAATCGTCAAAAAGAGGACGAAGAGATTTATCAGGCATCAATCGGATCGCTATGACAAACTTAAGAGGAATTGGCGTAAACCTAGAGGTATGTTCACATGTCATTTATAAAGTTGAACATAAACTTTGTAAAAACTGTGATTAAGGACTAATATCACCCGTATAGTTAAATTTTAGAAATTGATGCAATATATAAACGATTGTTACTATATTTAATGTGATTTTTTTTTATTTACAAAAATAACCTGTTCTTAGGTTATGTATTGAAACCGTATTAATTAAAAAAAAGAATACAAGTGTACTAAACGTAATTTCTACAGCATTATAACCAAAAATATTTTATCTACTAATTAATAAAATTACAAATCTTTACAATTCTCATTCAAAACTAATCAACACATTTCAAACAGGGAACACATTTTTTCTATACAAAACATGCAAGGGCACTCTGTGTTATACATCCTAAATATGATAATTACAATTTGTTACCTTGCTACATAAAATCTGCTGAACCCTATTCCGGACAGCTTTGAAGTTGTCGTTCGGTCATATTGGCAGAGACATTTTAATAATAAGAAAAATTACACTAGAAATATGCGACTGAAGGTTCATTAGGCCGTGGCTTCGATGTTGAGAACATATATTGCATGTAGAAAGTATCTTAAGTAAAAGAGCTGTCATGGGGGTCTGGTTTGAGGGACAAGACACAACTTAATTAATTTGAGGCATACAAAATTACCAAGAGAGCAACAAACAAATATTTTGTCAATATTTGATATTTATCATGCACATGGGATCGACATCACTGTGGCCTGATGGATAAAGTCCCTGCTGTTCTCATATCGAGCAATGCAAGATTGTCACTGTTCAATTCCTGAATGCATGTTCACAAATGACTCACAATTTGAACCTTTGGTAATTGATAGACAATTGGGATACAGACTGAGTCGAGTCTCAAATTGCATGTCTATGGGTTACAATAATCACTTCACATTAAGTGAGCCATGAGCTTGTTCATTTGCTATTATGATAAAAACAAAAAATCTCCACCTTAATGTTGAAAAATCTATACTACCCACAAGTTCTGACAGACACAAAAACTAGCACATTATTGTTAAATCGTTAAATAAATTTCAGGTATTGACAACAGAGTCCGCAGGCGGTTCAAGGGTCAATACTTGATGCCCAACATTGGTTACGGTTCCAACAAGAAGACCCGTCATATGCTCCCAAATGGATTCCGTAAGGTTTGTAATGAATGTAAGATACGCAAGCAGATCGATAATTTAAATGATTTTTGTACACAACAATTGACTGTTTACCGTGCTATCATCCCCGCCATACCATTAGCTAATATGATATGCAAAAAATTATAGTTTAAGGTTTCAAGCTATAAAGAACTGTTTCTCCACTCGGATATTACTATTTGGAATTTGAGGCCTTAATTCCATCAGATCCATACTTTAAGATTATAAATGGTATTTTTTGTTTGTCCTTCTTCCCATCGAAACAAAACAACGGGTTGATATGTTATTTAAAAATGATCATATTAGGTCAAGAGTGTAGAATGTATGCATTAGTGAATCCTGTAGTGATAAGTGAATGCAGCCCGTTTTTGCAACTTTACCAGAGAGCCATTTAAAGTTCAAAATTTGTAAAAAATATATGTATAGCTTAACAAAAAAACTTCTTCAACTGTTTAAACAGAGTAAACTTAATTGAAGTTCAATTAAAACACATCGAACTGTTGATGCTGATACCAAATAAAACGCACCTATAATTTCAAAGATATATTTTGCATATAAAACCTCCATAATATAACTGTTTGTATGGAATATTTCTCTCATTTCTGTACTACCGTCTGTTAGGGTGTTTCCCAACGTGGGTCCCATGCCCCACAAGAGGGTAATTTGATAATTAAGGGGGGCAATCGCACTAAATTAACAGAAAATCTGTATTAACATTATTTTGAAATTGAATTTCAGTTTTTTATTATATGTTCTGATAACAATTTCATAGTGATTTCTTCCTAAAACCTATCATTTATGTGCCTTAAATGAACAAATATTTTTTTTTGAGTTAAACTTTCCGTATGGGGGACATAAAAATTTTAGAGGTGTTACAGTGGTCTACTGGTGTTTTGTTTACTGGTGGTAGTACCTCTTGTG